TGAAATCAAACGGAAGTTCACACGAGGCTATGAATGCCAACACAAAAGAGCAAAGCCCAAAGGATGCTATTTTGGAAGGGCAGATCCCGTGTGGACATTGCATGCTCACGGTCCCCCTGTGCAGAAGGAATCTTTGTGCCGGCACACGAGGACATGCTCGTCATATTTTTGATGAATGTCCCAAGAAGTTGCAACCGGCCAAATAAAGCCAACAACTGCAAGGGAATAACAGATTTGGTATGCCCAAGAGGCAGGGCTTTCAGTGGTTGTCAGTAACAGGAAACGCTGGACGTGTTCCGAATAAAACTCTCTTGGTGTCAGTAGAGGTTACATTATGTGATTAAAAATTCATTCTATATAAATCATCAGAAAGGCACCATAGAAATAAAATCATTGGTGTCACGGGTGGGGAAGACTTCAGAGTACAAACTGCTTGCTTTCTCTGCCAAAATGCTGACCCATAAAATATTTTGTACAACTTTGTGGAATCTGGCTTTAAATGGTTCAGGCAATTTAGATTTCTTCATTTACCAAAAGGAATAATTCACTTGCTAAAAAGAAATATCTCATGTATGGGTATATTTCCTTAAATACCAGCCTTTTTTCACATTTTCTCCTCTTCAAAGGGCCATTCCATTACTGTCTTTTACCAATTTTATCCATCAGTCTCTTTGTATGAATTAATATCACTTACTTTAATAGACTGTTGCTTGCTTCCTATTGTCTGGGGTTTACCCCCTGAAGTCATGCACCATTGTTCTTTCATTTAATTATTTATTGTAAATTAATATCTCTGTGCCCTTTATCTGACTTTTTTTACCTCTTTCTTTGCAACTCCCTCAACTGCTTCTTTTCAGACTTCTTTTGCCAAGAAGCAAGCACAATATTCCAAATACAATTCCAACAGAAGCTTAAAAGAAGAAATAATATCTTGTTATCCAGACATGATGCTTTTATATGGTTTTCTACATCATTATATTCCACTGCAAAATCACGTTTAATTTTTTTTTAATATTACTCCAAGTTTCCAAAATGTCCATTGAAATTTTGCTGTAACTTGCCCATTTGTACTTTTTTAAATCATGTCCCATTTTGCTATATTCTCTCAATTTTTCCCTTCTCTTTCCCCTTCTGCTTCCTCAATTTCAATACTCTCTCCAATTTAATATTATCAGCTAACATGAGGATTATATTGGTCAGGACCTCTTCTATATCTTTAGTGAAGATAATGCTGACCCTAATCCCCACAGATTTCCTCCTCTGAAGAGAAAGTTTGTGCTATATTTGGGTCCTTAGAATGGCTTTTCTCTGCACAGCAATGGGTGAACCCGAGCCAATTACAATTTATTTTAAAAGTAGGCTTTTCTATAACAGAGATCCAACTGTTTTCTTAAGGTTCATATATCATATGTCAATTTGATAGATTAAGGCTCTGATTTTCAGAGGTGAGGCAGAGAAGAAGGGAGGTAAGAGGGCTAAGCCTTGAGCAAACATCAACTTTCAATGTGATTTCAGCATCTCACAGCTAATGGCTTTTTGAAAAACACTTTCAGATCAATTTTCTGCTATTACAGGCACAAGCAGTGGGTATGGAAGCCCTGTCCGAGTACTTAAAACAGTCACTCCACCAACAAACACTTTAAAAACTGCCTTCTGCAACATGAATTTATGCACCAGGGAAAGATCTTACAAAGGGGTCTCCGAGAGGTCCTGTTGCCTCTGCCTGGCACACTTCCTCCGCTCACCTATTCCAAGAAAGAAGATGATTTTCTATTTGTCCTTTTTGCCTTCTTTTGACCTCTTTTCACCCTGTTTGTGCAGAGTTCTCTTAGCACACTTAGTGAGTAGAACCACCTCACTGCCTTTATGACATTTCACTCTGAGCAAGCACTCTCCTTTTCTCCTCTCTGTCTTTATTTAATTTACTTTAATCACAGGCTACAGTGAGTGTTTAGTGATCTGTGATTCCCATGATTATTCCCTTTTCCTCCTCTCTCAGCTCAGTGTTGTGTTTATTTATTGCTGCTCTCCTGGGCCGTTTCCAGTTTTCCATGAGCATTCACTATTGATTGCTAATGATGTGTTAACTGGGTGTATTGGATCCCGTTATGCTCTGCAGCCTGCCTTGCCTGGATCTGCTGGTTTGTATATGTATACATAGGCTTTCTAGACACTTCTCTACTTACATTTATATTAATTCTAACAGGCTCTCCCCCATCTCGTTATTGATCCCCTTGTTGGATGATTTTAAGTGTTTATTTTCTTAGACAACTGAATTTTGATTAGCTACATTTCCCTCATCAATTGCTCTTGTGTCCCCGACTCTTCCCTGAGTTCATGAAAACCTTCTTAATCCTTTTAACCTTTCTGGCAAAGAGTAACCTTTGCTTCCTTCCTAGAACCATCCCTAGTCTTTTCCTTCTCTCTCATATGTCCGGTTCTTTTTTCTAGTCCCTGTTCATACTCTCAAACTTTAATCTACTGTTTTCTGAATCCATCTTCATTATCTCTTCTTTGAAGTCTTTTCAGAAGAAACCCTGTCTGTTTGCCTTGCATGTTCCCTACCTCCCTTTGACACTGATGGATTCTAATATTTCCTGGAAACTCCTCCTGAGAAATAACAAAATAGTCTATGTTAATGTCATTGTATTTTGTTCTGTGAATTTCCTAAACTGTCTCTGCTAAATCCAGCTCGCTAGTTGAAAATGTTATCGAGCTGACATTGTTCTCACAGTTTTCTTTGATTTCTGGCTATTGGTAAAAATTGTACCCAACAAAGCTTTTCTTCTCATTGGATCCCCTATTTTCTACATACTACAGCTGCATATGATTTAGGACTATTTCAGTGATTCTGTTTTGACATCTTCATAACAGAACACATAATGACTAAATGCATTCCCTAATGAACAGTATCATAAAGTTCTGACTGTGCTAAAACTTGGTATGACATTTTTTTCTACCGTCATACGCCGCTGTGAGTCTGTAGGAAATGGGCTCTATATGACAGCTGCATTCTGAATATGGGTTTTCAGAAGCTTTATCCATATCTTGGACCTGTTCTGTTCTTTCTGTTCTGACTCTCTTTTTAAAAGGTCTCTTCTCAATTGTTTGCAGATCTTTTGAGTAGAGCATTAAAAACCCTAGCCAAGACTATGACCTTCTGGATGCTGCAGCTAATTGCAAACAAGTAGCTTCCACCCCCGCTTGCAAGCGCTGCTGGAATGTTCAGTCTTTCCCATTTTACCCCAGGTTCAGCATTTCTCTGAATTCAGCTATAAATTTTACATTGGCTGTGTATGCTGGAAAACAGAAGGCCCATTTTCACATTAATAATAAATATAGAAAACTGTGCCTAGCCTCATACTCCATCACCACCATGCTTATGAAAATAATACTTTATCTGTACGTGCCATCTCTCATATAACCATCTCACAGGCTGTTTAAAAGCATGGGTAAGTATTATTGCCCTCATTTTTTTTAAAAAGTGAAGGCAATAGTATTGCAAGATAAAGCACAAAAACTTTTAAGTGGGAACTCAGAGAAGAGAGTAAACCAGTTCACAAATAACACACTTCTCCTGCTTGGAGCTATTTGTCATTGCCTTGTCCCGTAGAAGATACCAGCTTTGGTATTGCTCACACCAGATAATGCTCTAATACATCCAGAAACAAACTGTAAGCAGGACTGGACAAAATATCAGGTCTTTAGTCTTTAGTGGCCAAGCTATTTAACTTGTAAAATTTACAACCAAATCAAGTAAAATTCAAATTTGGATTAACACAAATATAAATCCATTATTTTACCTAGCAAAATAAAATAGGGTGGAAATATTTCCTGTTTTCTTCTAAAGAAAGTGTCTTGATTCTGTTAAAGGAAAGTTTAACCTGAAATGAAATTTCTGTTTCATATTTGGGTGACTTACTGAATCATGTATCATATGTCTTTTAATGAGTTCAGCCTTCAAAACAGATTTTGAAAATAGTATATTCCTCAGAATTTTTTATTTACCCAGATCTCCTTGAGAGTTCCTGCTCTAAATAGATGAGACAACCAATACTTCAGGGAGTGGGAATATTCTTGCCCCATTTTGCAGAGGAGGATCTGAGAAACACTGAATTTAAACAATGCACCTAAGATGATGGTGTCAAATATTTCAAGCAAGTGGTAGAGCCCTTGGGACACTTCCAAAAGCCATGTGTCCCTGCTCCTGCATCACCTGGAGATCAGAAAGGTGGGACAGAAAGGCAAGGGGCCATGTCCTGTGGTGAGAACAAATCGGACATGGGAGGAGACTGGAGGAGCTCTCTCATATTTGTACTTTGGCTTCCTGTGACTGGACACTGGCAACAGGGATTTCTGCTCCTCTTGGAGGAGAGGCTGTCAGCAGGGGCAGAGCATGGTCCTAACTGAGCAGGTGCAGATTTTACCCACCAGCTGTGGGTGAGGACCCTCAGGCATGAGGCCCAAAAGCCAGGAGCCTAAGGCAGGTCATCCAATTAATCCTTCAGCATTTCAGGAGATGGGTCCCACTTCTGGTGCCCCCACCCAAAGGTATGAGTCTTCAGGATGTCAAACAGATGAAGTCCATCATTCCAGGGTTCCACCCACCATTAACCAGAGCAACCTGGTCTAGTGGAAGGTGTCCCTGCCCATGGCAGGGGGCCTGGAACTGAATGATCCTGAGGATCCCTCCCAACCCAAATCATTCTAAGATTCTGTGATTAATATCCAGTGGCTGTTCACTCTCTTTCTGTGGTTTGCTTCTCTTTTGTTTCAAAAAGTAAGTTCTATATGTTAAGTTGTTGTTGATGATGGGTCAACCCCTGGTCTCAGGGTAGGCAGAGCTGTCACCAAGGAGTGCCACCGTGGGAAGTGCATGGCAATGTCTCTGTTGGGGTGGCTTCAGCTGGGGTGTTGGTCAGTGGAAAGATAACTCAGCTACTTCTGCTAGGGCTACTGATCAATTTGTTTTCCTCACCTTTGCCCTTGTTGACAACAAGCTTGATGAAATCAGTCTTTCTGAAGGCAGCACAGTGGATTTGACAAATCCTGCAGAACTGCTGGAGCAGATCCCTGAGTTTGCTGAGGAGCTGATGGAGCCTGAAGATTGCTTCCCCGAAGGTAAGAGCCTGCATGTTTCACTGCAATGATGAGGAAAGAAACCTTCTTTTCTCTAAATGAACATCTCCCGAACTTCTCACCATGTTGCTCTGGTTGCTTGAAGTAGTATTTCACTGGATGCACTTCATTTCTTAGGCACTATAAAGCTCCAAACCCACAATCAAAATCCCTTGAATTCATTAGTCTTTGGCTTTCCAAGGTGAGATAAGCTAAAAGCATGCTCTAAAATGCTCTGCAACTTCTAAAGTCTTAGGCTTTTAAAATCATCATTTGTGCCATAAAGAGTTGTTTGGTTTTTACTTTGTTTTTTAAATGCTGATTTTTGTCATTTGACTAGTGAAGATTTTTGCCTTCCAGTATTTGTGCATGATCAAATTTGGTCAAGAACTGACCAGATCAGAATGTTTCTGTTGCTTGAGTGTATCCAGGCAGTTCATAGAATCTGTCTGGAGGCTTCACGAGTCCCAGGGACTCTCTTCCATTTATTTTAAAGGGTGTCAAGATTAGCACATCCAGTTACTTTCATCTGGTCAGAGAAGTGCTATGTAAAGGGGATTTAACATAATTATCTTAGATAACAACAGAGCACATTTACATATCTCTTTTAATACTGAAATTCACCATCATTTTATTAATATTTTAACATCAGCCTGCTCCAAATCACAGATTTAAAATCCAGCTACATCAGAAGATCTGTTAAAATAAATATCTAAAGTAAATAACATCCTAAGTTATTTCTTTTCAGAGTGAGTTCTATTCCAAATATTATCTCAGTCAAATTCTTCATTTTCCTTTAAATCTGGGTTGGGAAAAATAGGGTTAGCTGAATGTAAGAATAGTCCCTTGAAAATTCAAGCATTATTATAAACAAAAACAGAGCAGCTCAGATGGGATCAGACAGAGATGATTTGCTGGGTATATGAATGCCCCTGAAGTCAGCAAAAATGTGCATCTCTATATCTGTGAGAAAGATGATTGAATGAGGTAAGGGAGCCCTGCAGGGCTTACAAATGTCCCTAGGATCTAAACATTTTTTTGGCAGCTCTGCTTAAAAGCAGTAGCCAAAAATTAATGCAGCTGACAGAAGAAAGCATGGTGTAACTATTCAGGCCCATGCAATAACATTTAAAAATTAGATCTGGTGTTTTCATTCTTTCACAATATATTTCTTAATGGGGCTAGTGAGCAGCAATCTCTGTTGTGCAATCTCTGTGTTATGATGCTTAAACAAGTTGGTGCTGTGAGATCAGCGCTGTTCAGATGCCAGCTTACAAATTCTGAAACTGTGGTTGGCCATGACCACCACCCAGTTTTTAAAAGAAATGAGGCAGACATCACACAGCACATTCCCAGAGCAGCAGCATGCTGTAATTTGATCTGTCTTAAAATACCCAGACCTGCCTGAAATTACACGGTGCAGGACCACCATGGAACCAACCCACTTTGTCAGATCTTCCTCAGTGCTGACAGAGGGATGCAGGCTAGCAAGCAGGGCTCTTCTAGATGGACCACTGGAAGTATTTAACCAGCTTTGAAGCCTGCTGATCATTCTGGCTGCAGAGCAATGCAGAAGCGAAGGCACTGTGGGCTGAATCCCAAGTTTGCCTACCCAGGCTCTGGCTCCTGAGCCCTTCCTCCAGAGCACATCTGTTACTGCATTTTTTTTTTTACTCCTAACCTCTCCTAGTTCCTCACCAGTGCCTGTGCAAGTCAAAGTGTTTTTCTCTTCTCCCAGGGTGTAGCCAGCTGAGCCTTGAGCCCTAAATTGGAATTGAAGGAGAGCCTGCTCCCAGCCCTCAGCCCAGTGCATGGTGTCCAGGGACACCTGCAGGCACAGGTGACATCCTCCTCGACACATCTACTCTGCTTTCCTGTGTAGCACATATTATGCATGCACATTTTTCAGAGCTTACTGTTTCAGCTAAATGTGATCACATTGCTCATGGATTTGGCAAAAATGCACAAACACAACGTGATTATTCGCTCATAAAATTTCAAGTCAAATTGCCATAAACTGAAAGTCCAAATGATTCTTACAGCAGCAACGTTAACATTAGCTTTAATTTATGCAGAGAAACAAAGTGTTTTCCTGTAATCAACTGCTATTAAATATTTCCAATATTTTTGCCCAAACTTACTATTGCAATTAAACCTCATGCAGCTGTCACTTCAGTATAGTAAGCCAATGAAGTAAGCCAACAAACAACAGTCTAATTAGCTGAGATGACAAGGCTTTAAAGTACTAAAATGAAAATATTGAAGGGTATGCACTGGGCAGGTTTATCTAGTGCTGCCTTTATGACTCTTTATAAAGAGATACAATAATATTTGGTATATTGGGAGTATGCAAGTTAATATTGGTGAAAGAAGGAAATAATGTGAAAAAGAAGAGCAAGAGGGGAAGGGTTAATTTCTTACCCTGTTAGCTCACCAGCTATCTAAATTCAAACTATGACATTTCTAAATACATCTAACATAGGTTATGTCCTGAACAAATATGTTCCAGATTCAGGCCCCTTTTTTTTCAGATAACAAAGGCAACAAAGATAATGCATGTTCTTGAAATAGTTGCTGAAAGTTTGCTGAGGTCACAGTTTTCCGGGAGTTGGGTGACCCAGATAAGCCATAGGTCGTTTTTCTTGGGGAGCCTTGTTAATGTGTTATCATCTCAAAATAGCTTTGATTAGGGTCAACAGGGAGCATTCTTGGGTCAGGACATGTGAAGCCAAGGTAGGGTCACAGACCTGGCAGCTAGCAAGTATTGCTGGGAAAAACCCTATAGAAATGGAGAGACCATTTCTGGTTGCCAGTTGATGGGAAAGGAGCATTTATCCAATGCCAGCTATTTGGGTACTTTTTCCTCCAGATGCCTTGCAACACTCCACTCCTGTTACCTCCATTGGTATGTGTTCTCTGCAGCAAAATTTACTCCCTGTTTGGACATTATCTTCTGTGTCTCACAGAAGGTCATCCAAAGAGAGCCCTCGGGCCACGGTGAGCTCCTCTCTCCCTGACCCTAATAGGAGAAAGATTCCACCAAGTCCTTAGGCGTAATTCCCCGGACACATCCCGCTGGCAGAGGTTTCGAGGGAATATCACCAGAGGGTCATGCGAGAATGAGCAACCTTGCTCAACGCGTGGTTGGTCCCAACTCGTGACACCAAGGACGCCCAGAACCGTCTTTCCATGTGACCGTGGTAGGAGCCATTATCGCTCCTAAAACGCCCAAATGTCGTTTGTTTTGGAAATTGCAATTGGAAAATGCTACGTGCTCAAGTGAAGTTGCTCTGATTAGTGGTGGGATCTGTGTCCTGCCCTTCCCAACTGTGGGTAGAGGCTGTTTAGAAGCAAAAAAGGGAAGAGAAGGAAAAAATAGACCATTAAACAGGATAAATCTAAACAGAGTTACAGGGACTGACTGCCACTAGATGATTTTTAAAAGCTGAGGAAAACCAAGCCAAGCCAAACAAAATGTGCTCGTTGACATCCTAGGAAAAAATCACAGAACAAACCCAAGTTTTAAAGCATTTCTTCCCTCTGGCTGTCATACCTGAGATACTCTGTGTTTTTCCACCAGGAACGGCGTGTTACTCACTATGTTGTACACAGTTCTGAGGCATATAAGACTCTTGCAGCCCTGTTACTCATTCAGAATTAAATTAATACAGGTTGGACAGGAGCTCTAGATTTAAAACTTATCCACGCCCTCACTTTAAGCATGGACGACATCAATGGTAGGCCAGGCTGCCCACTGCCTTTGCTCCAAGGTGCCTTTTTTGTGACCTCCTAGATGGTATATTTTGAGGACAGTAGCAGCAGATAAACAAGAAATGTACCCTTGTTAAGCACTCGGAAGGGTAAAAACACCTGGCTGTGGTTTTGTCAGATGCCTTCTTGGAAGTCCCCAGTCGTAGCACACAAGTCTCAGATCTCCTGATGTGTCTCAGGTACCCAAATGCTGGAGACAGGACCATAAATCTCTTTCACACTACAAAACCCAGATGTGCAGTCACAGAATCATGGAATGGTTCAGGTTGCAAGGGACCTTAAAGGTCATGCAGTTCCAACCCCCCTGAGTTAGTAGCAGGGCCAGAAGATGAGGAAAGGGTTAAGTAAGAAGAGTCTGATGAGATCATGTTCCCTCCAGCATGGGGAGAGAGTTGGGGTCTTTCAGAGGGGGTTCAGTTGGGTTTGATCTCATATTTGTGCATGCCCAGGTCACCAGACTGGTCATTAGAAACCCAGCTTGGCAAATACATAAATATATATACAAAACCCATGTTATGAATACCTGCCTGCTGGAGTTCATGCTGAGGAAGCCGTATTCTGTGTCAAACCAAGCAATGCTGGAACCAGCATTCAAAGCTAAGAAAAATACTGTTTTGTTCTAAAAATGAATGTCCCAATAATTGAGAACTCGTGTGTAAGGGCACTCACAAAGTTGCTGTGGTTTGAATATAAGGCACCACACGTGCTGGACAACAGAATGGAAGGAATCAATTGGTGTTCCTGGTTTACTGAACCAGCAGCCCAATACATCCAAAGCAAAAAATAATAATTTTATGAAAATTAAATATATATGTTGGTGTGAACAAGCAGTGGATTTGTAAATTCTTTGCCCATAAGCCTAAAATCAGTAGGCTTCACTGTCAGGCATTGAGGAGGAAGGTTTTGCAATATAACTCCCACATTTACAAAGAGATTTTTTTTTTTACCAATGCACCAAGGAAATGCAATCAGGTCTAAGAACTCCATGATTAGAGTACACCAGGCTAGAAAATGTGAATATGGAACAAAAGGAATATTTACACAGAATGCATAGTATATTAAATTCCTTTTCTTTTTTTAAAAGAGATATATTTTAATCTTCAGTTTGTGACTGTGCTATAAGGACACTCTAATGACTGAAGGGACTATTTCCCTTGTTATTAAATACAACCAAAAAGTAAATAATATCATGGTGTATTAATGCATTTGGAAAGGTTTCTTGGTAAACAGGCCTCTGTTTTATGAGAAATGGTACGAAATGTCCAAATGTCAATTGAAAACAGACATTGTTCTTGGGCAACTTGACCACAGATGCAGCTCAGAACATCTTCACAGACTTACCAGTAAATAATTCAGCCCTTTGGGGAGACTTCTTCTACTGTTCTGTGTTCTGATGAGCAGTAATCTACCAAAAGACCATGGTGGAAACAAGTCAGTTTGTTCTCAAAAACAATTCAGCCCAACATGAATTAAAGGCAAAACTAAGCCCTGGCAAAATCACAAGGTGGTCAGAGTCTTCTGCACAGCCCATTCCCTCCCAGCTCTGCTTTCAGTGGGCTAGCACAAATCTGTTAGACCAGGCAAGATGAGTAATTGTCATAAGAAATGCCAGGGGTTCTATTCCTGCCTTGACACTTGCAGTGATAAAAGGTGTTAATGAATGATCTCCTTTGTGTGGATAAAATGCGCCAAAGCTGGGTTTTGCTGACCACCTGCCTTATTATGGAAAGAGCTGGCATTAGGATTGCTCAGACCTTCTCCAGGCCATGCCTTAGACTCATCAAAATTATTTTCATTTCACAGAAATGGAGGGGGGGGAAAAAAACCCAAAACAACAAAGCATTACACTACAGACCAAAGTCAAGTAAACTTTTTCTCTTTAGTTCAGTGAAGTTTCTAACTCAACATGTAAGCTTAGGTCAAGATGACCAGAGCAGTAGGCTACCAGCATTAGAGCGAGTCCAGAAAAGCACAGGCATGAAGGAACAGTCACGGAGGAAAATCACAAAATTTAAATAGAAACAGGTTTCTACTAAATCATTAAAAGACCTGTTTGGGGTCAGCTTTCTTTTCTTCTTTCCTTTTTCTCTTCGTGAATAGTTAAAAGCAGCATTTCATCAGAATTGCAGACAGCATGATTATTCACGGAAATACTACTTGACATTAGCAATTGTAGCAGAATCTGGTCTAAACATTTCTGAATTGGGCCCAATCAAAAGCATGGGATTTAATAGCACTGTGATTTTGGGCTGACTCATCTGATAAGCTATTTTGGATTTTTCAAGGTATTACTGTCAGTAACTAGGACTCTTTTTTTTCAGATTGAAATTGCATGATAGCAATCAAAGAGCATTAAAAAAGAAAAAAAAAAAAATATAGTGGTGCTACCTGGCTTTCCATCTTTAAAAATACCTCTCTGTACTTGTAGACTATCAGATGGAAGCCAACTGAATCAGTAATAACCTGGTTTAACCGTGTTGTATTTCCCATCTCAAATGAAGTGACTTTGGAACCCACAGTGCCCTGCTCATTAGTTTCTAATATGAAGGTAATCCCTAATTTTAGCTGTGCCTGGGCTCAGGTAATCATGTAGGCTCCCTGTGTAGTGGAATCATTCCTCCAGGGAATGATTCATCCAATTACTTTATAATGGGGAAAGCCACTTCCTGGGAGATCCTAACCTTTTCCAGCAGTATTTACAGAGCATTTATACTCTGGAGCACAGCAGAGTATGTCATGCCTGTTACTGGCTGGGCCTAAGCATTCGTCTAAGAGACTAAAAAGACAAGTAACAATCTAGGTAGAAACTTATGAGAAAAGAGCGAAAAGCTTCTGTATAAATGTTTTAAGTAAGAAAAAAAGCTGTTTTTTTCCAAATTGAAATTGGTTCTGGGAAGAAGACAGATGCAAGGACAGTTAATTCTACTGCAAGCAGTGGCTACTTCCACTACAAAGGGGGATTTCTGCTTAACACAAAAAATCCACACTTACAGAGTGAACAGCCTGCTCATTAAGTCATTCATTGATAAGTGAGGGACTTCAGCCCAAATCTTTGATCTTCCTGATCCAAAGCTGGAGTGACAATGAGGTGGGCAGCCTCCCTGAATTATAAGCGCAGTTTGTGAGCCAGACACCTGAAAGATGGTGATGACCAAGTGGGCTGGGGGGTGAGAAGTAGTGCAAGAGTTTTCTGGCAGCACTACTGAGAGATGCAGCTGATAGTGCCCTCAGTCATGTTGTGCTGGTGGGATTCTCCTGATGGGCCTCTCTCAACAGAGAATCTGCTCTGTGAAGTCTGTGCTGTGTACCTACTTCCTAAAATACACCCAAACCCACATGCACTGCCAGCTGTGAGCATTGTACTTCTTTTAGCAAAAAGTAGTGACTAATATGATGTCCTTTTATTGCTTGCCTTGATTCTTTAGTGTTTGGGATTGAAGTGCTTAGAAGAATAATTCTTGCCTTTGCTGAAGTGGTACCTGACCTACAAAGAGACAGAGAGCTGGTTCTTACGTTTCCATCTTCTCCCAGTATTCTGCCTTTCTAAAAAAGTTTGAACAATTCAACTGAGCCCAGAATTTCCCTGAGTTCTGGAATACAGTGGTAAACTGGGAAATGTGGTGGGTCTGTGTGATGCAGGCATTTAGAGAACAAGTAGTTGTGTGCTACAATTACCTTTACATAAATGTTTACTGTCCTTCTAGTCCCACACGAAAACCTAGCTAAGCCAAGAGCCCACACCTAACCAAAATCTGAGAAATGCGAGGGGGAAAAGTTCTGGGAGTAGTTCCTCTATGAAAAATCCTACAGTTCTGCTGCTTCATAGGAAGGATCTGGGATAATAAAAACTCACAGAAAATGCCAGGAGCATCACAGCAGACTTAGCAGCTCTCTTCCTCCTGGCAGAGCCTGCTGCCAGCACAGCCCCACTTCCAGCTGCTTGGGAATCCCAGCATCCCAGGAGCTGCACTTGATCTCCCTCCACATCCCAGGCAGCTCAGTTGCCTCTGTTATGCCACCTTGAATTAGAAGCATCTGCTCTCTCTGTAACCTTGGCACTCGCCTTCTTTCCTCCCCAAGCTGCCTCGCCTAAATATTATTTCTACTTGCAAAAACATTGCATTGCATCACCGTGGTGAGACGCCCTCCTTTTTCACTTTTGAGCAGTGGCTGTGTGTTTCAAGACATGTTAGTGACCTTGGCCACCTTCCAGCTATAGAAGCACTTGGCCTGTGGCTTTTTTTCTCATGATGAGGCTGATAAACCCCCATAGTTAAGTCTCTTCCTATACAGCACATGGAATAAATATAGAGTAAGAAGCTTGCTTATTGAAAATAAAATCCTTTCTGAGGGTCATTCTCATCAACAAATGTGACGTTTGAGTCAGATTATCTGACGTAAGACTGACTGGCCAGGACAATTCCTGGCTCCCAGGGTCCTCTCACACCATTTTAAGTTCTTGCCCAGCAGAAGGCAATGCACATGGTGTTTTTGAAGTGGGAGAGATGTATTTGTCTGTTACCAATGACAATATCTTTTTGCTATAACAAACGAGTGTTGCTAAGGAAACTAAAAATGGCCATGGTCTTGCCTATCAGAAATCCTTGTGTGGGCCCCACTATCAGCACAGCACTTAACTATCACACACTATTTGTCACTGAGGTCAGAAAGTGCTACGAAGCATCATTGGGGATCCTGCTACAGAGCAGATATCTAAATTTCTGTGACATCAAAGGGGATTTAACTGCCTCAGTATAATTCCAAGATTGTTCTAATGCCTTACTTAAGCTAATGAGAGTCCAAGAGATCAAAATCGGCTCCTGCTTTTGCTGCCTGAATCTCTTCAGCACAGTGGTCCCATCTGCACTGTAGCACCTCCTCTCATCATCTCTCTTTCATCAGATTGCCACTTTTAATCAGTAATTCCAGTGGTATTGTACTAGCAAGAAAATAACCTTCCTCCATTCAAAAGGATGTGGAAGCCATCACTAATAACCTCCTAGAGTTATTAGTCCTGATCAGAAGTGCTGCCTGAGCTCTGCTAACACTTTTTGAATGACCTAGGGCACTGGTGACTCATGGCCAATATATTCTGTATCACAACAATCATTGGGAGGACTCCCTTTGACACATTTTAAGTGAGTTTGAATGTTTTTTAATAGAGGAGTGAGAGAAGAAAATGGGAGGCTGAGCAGAGAGGTTTTGTGAGAAACAAGGGGGAGGAAAGACACTGTGCAGCAGTCTATTACTAAAAGAAATCTTCCTTAGCAGCTTCTTATTGCAGCTTTAAGAATTAAATGGGCCTTTTTTAACAATTCCTTTGTTTTTGTTTTATTTCTTACAGTCTGTGTGAGATTCTTCCCATGCTGTTCAGTGGACATCACAAAATTTCCAGGCAAAATTTGGTGGAGGCTGCGAAAGACCTGCTACAGAATTGTTGAGCACAACTGGTTTGAAACGTTCATCATCTTCATGATCCTGCTGAGCAGTGGAGCCCTGGTAAAGGGGACAGCATTTCCTAACTGCTTAAAAGTGGACATGGGTCTCCAGTGTTCTCCAGTTTGTCTTTTTCTAAGGTCTTATGAACCCTTAGTGTTCATCCCTCAAAGTAAAGCATTTAGTCTGGGGTTAAAACAGGTTGTCAGTTTTTCTGCTTTCACCTGCCTTACCATTGGGGAACTTTCTTCTGCTGTGACATAAAATTCTGACTTGCACACATTTTGAAAAGAAAATCCTTGAGGAAGTCTGTGTGAGGAAATTTGTCAGCATTGCTGCTTCAACATCCCATAGCTGCTTCTCCATGAGAGTTCCCATCTGGAGGCTTGCAGTTTTGCTCCAGGGGTGGCCTTGTTTATTTCTTTTCTTTTCTTTTCTTTTCTTCTCTTTTTTTTTTTTAGCACATTCTGTAACTAGCAAATCAAAATTATAAAAGACACAGAGGGCACTGAATCAGTGCTACCCATGAAGCTAGTGGGTGCCTGTATTCCTGTTTACAGCTTAGGTTAACACTCAGCACCTTCCCTGCACAGGTCCTGTTTGTGTCCTGTTCGTGTGGGCACTGGTTGGTCCTTGCCCAGGACTCTGATAGGGGATCTCCTGCTCCTGAGATCCCACTGCATTCTGGAATCATGTGCACTGTCAGCCCTGTGTTCTTCACAGGGATGCATTTATATTTCTCCTCTACATGTCAGGAATGTCCCTGGAATTGGTGGGATTTCTCCCAGGTTTTTTCCCTGACCTAGAGCAGAGATGTGTATCAAGAGTTGTCCAGGCTTCAGTCTGGTGGGCACTGGTCATCTCCTTTGTAATGGAGTAAGACATACACTTATTAAATTTGCAGGCAGTGCCATGCTTGGAAAGGTCATCCATGCATTTCCAGAGGCCAGGATTGACTTCAGCCAAATGGGTGAATCTGCCTTAAGTAGTAAGGCAAGCATCATCTTAGAAAGTTGCCTGCTTCACCTCACCAGGACTAATCACAGGCAGAAAGGTGTGATGAAGGATGGCTGTAAGGGAGCAGATTGACTAAAAAGAACTGGAGAGGGAGCAGGCAACAGAATAAACTCCATCACAGCCCTGCCCAAAAGCCCAACACCCCACTGGCTGTATAAATTATCCTGTTCTTCCACTCCAGTTGGCATCAAGGAGGCCTCAGCTGGAGCACTGGCTTCAGCTCTGGGCACTGCACTTTGGGAGAGACATGGGCTAATTGAAGAAACTCCACAGAAGAGCAACACAAATTATCAGTGGCCTAAAAAAAAAGAGGAAAACACCGAAGTACTGGGTTTATGTAGCTCAAAGAAAGTCTCTGAAGGGAGAGAGGAAGGTGGAAATACATAAATGTTGATGCAAAAAAGGAAAGAAATGGACAGTTCTCCTTGTCCACTGGGGATGGGCTGAAATGTCAGCCAGGGGGTTTTATTTTATTTTATTATAAAAAATAAGAGACTGAAAAACTTGGGTAAATAGTAGGCTTCTGAAAATTGTCACAGCTTTGCTGAAATGAATGGACTCTGACAGTTTTTACACCAGCTTGAGCATCAGAATGTTAATTTTTGAGCACATTTTAGAGGGAGAATGTCACTTGCTATAATGTGCTTTAGATGAATACACTTCCTTACATATGTAATTAAAAGTGCCTTAGATAACTGAAGACTGCAACATAAAGCTCATTTAATTTAAATTGCATGCATTCATTTAGTTTTTGCGACTTTCAATTTAGGCAATGCAGTTCTGTATAAGGGCAAATTATCCTGCATTTTCTCACATATCAGCAGCGAGCTTCAGTATTTGGACTGGAGATGTTGGAGGCAACACACAAATTTTTTTTCCTGTTATTCTGGGTCTCTCTCTTCCAAAAATTGAGCTCATCTGGCTGCACCCCTGGGACACCCTAAATTCTTGAGGGAGAAGAGTTATATATACCTTTAAGCCAATATTTATATATATGTGGTTAAACCATCAAAATATATCTTTAGCTTACTGCAGAAGATCCAAAAACCTTTCTTAAGATTATAAGCCATAAGCACCCAAACTGGAAGCCTACTTTTTAACAGTAATTTTGGATAACACTGCAGGTATCCTGCTTAACTCTTTTTTAACACACAAGGCAAAGCAGAAAAAAACCAACCTTTTTGATGTTTTATATGGCAGAGGTTCCATCCATTGTCACCATGAAAAAATGCAAAGCACCAGAATTTTGTCATTTGGGCAATATCCACAGCTTGTCCAGAAGTACAGAAGTGTACAGGTAGCACATTTTTCATCCCTTAATAAGCTGCTTCCTGACACCCAGCATGCTTTTAGCAGACAAAACACAATGTACTTTTGGACAAGTTAGTAGAAAGTAGGGAGAGCAAAGGAAGGAGAGGAGGAAAGCACTTTAAATGGTTTGTTGTTATTTTTGCAGTAATTGCAAAGTACAGCAAGTCATCTGACAAAGTGAGTGAGCCCCTACAAGAAGTGATAAACTCCAATCTGTGCATTGTTTTCAGGCTTTCTCCAACAGCTCTTTCACACCCTTGAAATATCATTTTTGAAGGCAAGATAGGAGACAGGGCTGGAGCGAAAACGTCACCCCAAAGTGTGGGGACAAATGGACAAGCTTTGGCACAGGCTGCCAAAGCTTTCTTGTCAGTTTAATTACTGTTCCCTGGCAGGCAAAAGAGCAGTGTGACTGCCTGAGTGACAAGTACCACACTTCTTGTATCTCCAGGCACTGGGTGTTTGCTAACTTTCTGAAGCTTCTCAGAAAGTAGCTACAGATCTGGAAATATGTAAATGCAGATAATTCAGATGATTAGCACAGACCCTCTTAAATTATGTTTCTTACTGCCAAATGCTCTGGGTCACATGATGGGATGAGAGTAATATGTCACAGCTTGGGTTACCCAGGTTACAGGGACTTGGGAGCAGCTTGTGTAACAGCAGTGGCAAAAGTAGCTGGGGAAGCTGACCATAATTCAGCTTAGAAGCCCCAAAACAGGCTGAATATTGGCAAACCTGACACCAGGATCCTGTCTTTTGTTTGACTTGCATTATAAAATGAAGGCTAAATTATGAGACATCTTTATTTTCTTTCTTTTGGGAGGCATGTTGGTTTAGATCTTAAATATTTTAAAGGGGTTATTCAGTGGCTCGTATTTGATACAGATACTGAAACTCTTTTCATAATGCTCTGCATGAGATTAGTTGAAGAGACAGATGAGATGGGGAGATAGATACCTTGACCTTTAAAACATTATTGTTCTGCTAAGTGAATAATAATGAGCATTTCTTGAGGCAGAGAGCTGTAGCCACCTGAAATGTGATGGCTGAACAGAAGCCAGGGAACTCCAGTACTCCATAACACAGGCAGGTTAATAACCCAATTTGTCATCATTAGCAATAAGATCTATTTGTCTAAATGCAAGGGTCATATTCTGCCTCCTAAATATAGACATCCCGTGCCCTGGGACATCTGAGGTGCCTGGGCAGCCTTGGCACAGCCAGCAGGAGATGAGGCAGGATGAACCTGGGTACTTTGGGGTGGCACTCTGCTCCTGGATTCACACTCCAAGTTCAGGGTGCAGGAGTCCTTCCTACACTCAAAGGATATCCAGCCAGCACAGCCAGCAGAGGCTGGAGAGAGATAGCCAAGGCTGTATCCACTGTAGGGGAAAGCTGAACAGACCTCTCTTAGGTCAGGGTCAGTCCTGTTTGTGCCTGAACACCCTTTTCAACTTGTAATGTTAAAACATATCAGAAATCACAGACTGTACTTGATATTTTATCAAATATGGAGCTGCAATGCAACACCCAAGCTTTCCAACAGGGCTCAGGAGCAGTTATTAACCAATCCTTTGTACTTCCAGGCCTTTGAAGATATTTACCTTGAAGATCGAAAAAACATAAAAACCATGCTGGAATATGCTGACAAAGTATTCACTTACATCTTCGTCTTAGAGATGCTCCTCAAGTGGGTGGCTTATGGCTTCAAGAAGTATTTCACCAATGCCTGGTGCTGGCTGGACTTCCTCATTGTAGATGTGAGTATCATTTTGGAGCTACAACGCTTCTCGTGCTGGATTTTGAGGTGGGGGGGGAAGGGCCGTTAAGTTTGGCAGCTTTGCATCTCTGAAATGACAGCTGTCACTCTGATTGTGAGCATCAACCCTGGGCAGGGCTCAGAGGAGGCTTGGATGTGTAACTGTGCATCCCCAGGACCCAGAGCAAACGGGAGCTCCTTCACTGGTGACGTAGATGTGTCACTCTGCTCATCTGAGTCACATCCCCTTCCCATGCCCGGGAATTCTCCCTTTCTTTCAGCATTTGACATCTCATTCCACACTCCCAGCTAGCACAAGGTCCAGCTACCTCAGCCTGCTCTGCACATGACCTGGGCACACAGGTTTTCAGCAGATTAGAGGAGCTGTCCTTGGCAGAGCTCCCCAGCAGGGCTGCCAGCAGTGAGTAACAGTACGTTCAGTACTGGCTCCCAAATATTTACCAGTGCAGGAGTTCTGAAGAAGGTGTAAAAAGTCCTCCTGGCAAAGTGTCTGCACTACTACAAAACATTGCAAAATACTCCAAATCCTCCGCCACGCTTACTTCTCCTAATTTAAGGATAGTCCTTAAAAGTTGTAACAAAAGGAATCTCACGCTCCAGGAGTGTTGCTAGTACCAGATCTGGCTCCTCCAGAGATTCACTTTGAATTGATGTGGGATCTGCCAAATTTGGGAAAAGTCAGCAACACCACGTCTTCCAGATGAAGTCTAACATTTCATCTCAGTGTATCAATGAGGAGGCAATTATCTCCCTGAGGCCATTTCATATTAGCTTTAGGTATTAATGTGGGAGGCTGGCAGAGCTTTGCCATGATTATGTAATTTATTAAACTTCAGAGAAATTATTTTTCTTCATTTTACATCTGAACCTTGACTCGAGGGAAGAACTGCAGTTTCCTTGGCCCCAGCCCAGGAGAGCACTTCAATGGGACAATTTGCTTGTTTGAAGTTATGGACATGTTTAAGTGCACTGCTGGATCAGAGCCTCTGGAAGCTTCTCCAGAGTTTTAATAAATTGATTTATGAAAAGGAAATTCTTTACATAAATTGTAGGTCATAAATTCTTCTTTGCATATATGCTTAGAATCCTTTTAAAGGGAAGGTGCTCATTTTTCTCAGATTAGCTCCAGCAGAAGGGGAAGGCCTGGTTTAATTATTTAACCACAAAATTGGAATCTAGTTCCTAAGTTATAGCCCAGCTCTGAAAACTGTTCTTACTGTGATTTAGGTGACATAGCTTTAGTTTTCTGGTTTCTCCATCTCCAAAATGGGACTAGTAGGACTCACCTAAAGTACTGGATGGGCTTCCAGGAATTTCTTATTGGAGTTACTGTTTCAGTGAGCTTCTGAAGACTAGAAGGGCTGGATGAGGGATGAATGTTGTCACAGCCATAAGTAGAGGTCTTCCTGATGGGAGCAACTGGGTGCAGGATTAATTCACTGAGGCAGTTTGGAACTCAGTTGCAGTTTGAAATTAGTTCCACATTTGTAAAATAACATCTCACTAGCACCAAAGAGAGTAATCCACAAACTAAGCTAAATTCTCTCCTCAGTGTGAAAAACCCCCTTGGAACTGGAGCCCTACAGGAATACAAAGTCCAAATGTAAATTAGCTCCACGTTTGCCTTTTAATGGTGGAGTTTAAAATGACAGATTGGAGAAGCAGCCACAGATGGCCTGGGAAAGGGGCTTCAGCTTCCCCTGTCACACACCCAAGCACCTATGGCATAAAACAAGGGGGACACTGGCCCTGGGACTCCCCTTGTCCCCAGAAAATAAGTCCCAGAGCCTTATTACAGACCCAGGAGGTTTTATTTTCTCAACTCACATTTAAATGTTCCACCCACATTTAAATGTTCATTTTGCAAGCTCCCAGTCCAACCAAAAAGTTGCTCCACCCTTGAGTTGTTTTGGTTGTTGACTGACTCTAGGCCATCGCTTGCTCTTTAGGGTTCTCAATGAATAAATCTTTTCCTCTTACAATATTCTTTTCTTAAAAATATTTTCCCAGTGCAGATTATGAGAACCTGGTACTATATTTTTAGCAGGTTTAACAGATGCTTTACTCCTACCCTATTGCTAACCCTGCCACTCTGAATTGGCACAGTAATTTCCTATAATTTTTCCAGCACACTTTTTATTTCAATTTACATTTTCTTTTTGGTCCTTTGAGAACCAAATCACTGCAACTGAGCTGCAGAAGGGAGTGAATGGGTGAATTAACTGCTCCAAAAGAAGCAGATGAACCACTTGTCTGATTTTCTCAAATTTATTTGTTTAAAATTATTCACTTAAAAATTCCTGATCTGCAAATTATTCATTAGTGGTTTGGTATCAGTATTCAAAATTCAAGCTGCCACGGTCGATTTTTGATTGGACATGTGAAACCATCTCTCATCTGTGTTTTCTCATTGTACAAATGCAACTCTGAATCTATTTTCTGTTTTGAATAATTCATAAAACCAGCTCAAAATTTGCAAGTATTCACTATTTCTAAATGGGGTTTGAACCCAGAGGGGTTATAAGGATATTACTGCTGAATTTATTTTTTTTTCTATATATCCTGTCTTGTGAGAGACCTTTGACACTGATTTGGGTCAGTGGAACAGAAGAGGCTCCATCTGACAGTTGTGGATTTCTAAAGAAACTTCTGTTTTTCAATGCCTGAACATCAATCCAGTAATCCACAAACTGAGCTATTTTTGCAGGATGTAGAGTCCCTAAAGGATGATCTCTGGCAATGGGCTTCATCTCCAAGAAATGTGCTAGTGTAGCAGAGAGTGCTTTCACATACATTGCAATACAATAATGTCCTATCAACAACTCTGCTACAGATCTCTTTGGGAGGAAAGAGAAAGGGTTAACCAAACCATAAAATGCAGGCTCATTTCAGCTCAGGGCACCTGGGAAAGATACCCTAGATGTCTGCCGAAAGTTGAACCAACAACATCAATATACAAGTTACCCTTCAAAAAATAAGTATAATGCTAAAAGTAACGCCTTTCTACACTGCAAATATCATCTCTCTGTGTTCATGAGCTGCAGTGGTGGACACTCAATCCACAGCTCTTTTCACATGAGGGAAAGGCAGATACTGTAGTGTATCTGTGCAGACAGATAGAAGTGTAGACAGACATCAATATCACCATCAGGAATGGCATTAATGTGCAATCCTCTTTCCTAGGATGCATGAGCAAGTATTTCCACAAAGAACAGATATTTTCCAAGCATCCATGCAATCAAAACCTCTTTGGACAAAGCAGATTAAGCAAAGAGTCTGAACTTGGCCAGGGATGGAGGCGAGTGGCACCCAAAGTGAATGATTGTGGGAGCTGCTCCCCACCAGGTCTGTCCTGCAAAAGCAGACAGAGCTGGGCTTTGAAACAAGGAGCAGAGATTCCACCAGCTGTGCACACTAGTGTCATACTTGATGTTCCTTTCAATTGTTTCCTCTGACCTATAAATATTATCTTGAGCTTATCTAGCTTGAGCTTCATCCAATTAATTCTGAGCTATGTCCCAGTCTCTGCTGACAGCAGATGGATTATTCCATTGCATGGTCAGTTTGGGAAAGACATCAGTCTGGGGCTTAACATCATTCAGAGTCTGGAGGTGTTGCAGTCAACAGCTTCTTCACCCACTGCTCATGCACTGAAGGCAGAGGTGAGAGGCTGGAGCCCCAGAGAAGCTGTTACAAGAAAGCTCATGAGAAAGAGGTGTGAACTCACAACTCATTAGTAAGAAAAGGAAAAAAAGTCACAGCCAAGTTCCATTGCCTGTGGCATTCACCAAGAAATCCTCTTAAACCTGGACTAATGTCATCACTCCACAGAAGTCCATTATCACAAATCCATCATCTCTATTGCAGCTTTTCTGTTGGATTTGATTAACCAAACGTTTGTCCCAATCCAGGCTTAGAAAAACCCAGCCTGATTGTCGTGTTCTGATTTCAGAGATGAGGGTTTCTCCACCAATTCTTTCTAAGATTATCCTGTCTTTCATGTCTTCACACGTGGAGAAAGCCATTTTCTTAAACAATTGCTTTGTTAGAGGTGCTGGCCTCCTTCCCCTCCAGCCATCTCCAGCAATGGGTGGTCCTTGCACTGTGTCCTGCAGCAGGGAGGGGAGAACATCTCTAATTCTCAGGTTTTGCCCTGATACCCCACTAGTTTCTCTCCAGCTGGGTCACCAGGGATGAAGATTGTTCTTTCCATCCCTTTTCCATCTCCCCTTCCATGGAGGCAGGGGCTCCCAAGAGTTTTGGCTAGTAGATCTGTCTGCAAAATAGCTCAAGCACGGCTCAGCAATGGATTTGAAGACCAGGCATCTCAAAAGAGTTATTCAACAAATCCAATAGGCAGGATTTTGTAGATGCTTTTATGGAAATGAAGTGATATGTATTTTTTGCTCTCCTTAATAACTTTTGTGAGCGGCTCTAACACAGCATGTTTCTGGTGTTTGCCCGGAGCTGCTGAGTTGGTAACTAGAGATCTGTATTCCCCACTGAGCAACTTCCCAAATTTCCTGTTTGCTGCCAAATTTCCTGCTTGCTTGTTTGAGATCTGCTCATGGATGTTCAGGCATTAAATGTACCATCACTTTCCCTGAACACTTAAACAAAAATAAAGGTATTACATTTTCCAAGATAGTTCCTGGAAAGCACTTGCTCTAAAATTTCTGTTTCAAATACTTCACTGTCAGACAACTTAAGAAGCAGCTAATAATCCTTGAATCTGAAATGAGTATTTTAAAACAGTCTTTTTATCCCTAGTTAAAATTGAATTGAATTAAATTATGCCCTTGTGTCGGATTGTCTTTAAGTGACAATTAAAAACTTGCTGTGTGAAGTAAATATTGATGGCTTATGATTACTTTAATTGTTTTTTTCCATCTGTATTCCCTGTTGATTAACAAGGTGATTTCTGTTTGCTGTACCAGTAATTACACAATCTGCTGTAATGAGTCGTTCCCAAACAGCACT